TTAGAAGATTTTTCGGAATTTCGGATGCCCCAATCATTCGTCTGATACACCCAGGTATCCAATGGCTTATCCCTCAATTTTCGAAAAAGGACACATTTTTTTCAAATCTGGGGATATCAATCCCCTGACATTTTCCATGCCATTTTCCATGCCATTTTCACATCCAAAAACACGGCATTTTCCAACACAAATCCCCTATGTGGCCATGCCGCCGCCGGCGAAGCCGGCGAAGCCGTGCCCTGTGGGACGAGTGGAACAAGGCGAAGCCGCGCCGGTTTCGATGGGTTTGAACTGAGTCCCATGGATTTTTTCCGATTCAAGAAATCCCAAAAAGGGATAAAAAGGGGACATCCTATGGCACTAAAGTTTCTTTATCCGATGATCCGAAAAACATGTATTACCATCTGGTTATGACTAACATAGCCATGGAAAATCACCATGTTTAATAGGTAAACCATCTATAAATGGGCCATGTTCCATGGCTATGTTAAATGACCAGATGGTCACATATAATATTACCATCTAGTAATCACACATAGCAATTTGGACAATTCAACATGGATAGATTTTCCCATGAAAAATCACCTCCATCTAGCCAGTTCGGTGGTATTTTCCAGCTACGTTTGATTCATGGAAATCCATGGATTGCTCATTGAAAATTGACATTTGAAAACCAACTTTGGGTGATAGTTTCACCCAATTTTCTGAAGCATTTCTTGCTACATGCCATGGATACATGGTCGGTGAGTCCCAAACAAAAACAATCCAACATCATATCCCCAAGCTGGCTAAGCTGGTTGGAGGGTTTCACCAAACCCTCATGGGGATGATGTCTAGATTCAACAGAAAGCCCAGAAAGCCATGGGTAAACAGCACAGCACAGGATTTACACATTGGTTTGGCAGCTTTTTCGATGATCCATTGGATGATCTAGCCGTCCAGGAAAATTCACCTTTTTTGGACTAGTCCAGCATGAAATAACCATTAAATCCAATGCTACCACTACTGTTAGTCCATTCGAAATGTCAATTTAAGATCATGAACTATGGAGATATCTGATGTTATTCCTCAATATATCACCATATTCCATAAAAATCCTGATGTTGCTATATCCCATCATATCCCATGTTGTGGAACACACAACTTGAGATCTCAGAACTGCACCAACTGACCCCCGAAATGAGCCAAAATGGCTACGGAATGGGCAGCTCCCAGGCGTCCCAGCCGCGGTGTCGGCAGCTTCGGCGCCAGCAGCTGGCGCTTCGGCGGCCCCGGCGACGCTGCGGCGGGTGCTGCTGCGGATCTGGCAATCGCAAAGCGTGGCCAATGCGACGGAGATCTGGGGAAAATCTGGGGAGATTTCAAACATCCAAAATGGGGCTATAGATGGTGGGATATCTATAGTATTTTTACATAATATATATATACACATATCATGGGATGTAGCCAACTTGATATTTTTTTTTCGAAACATGGATACATACATACTATGAAATACTGCTTTTTGGGGTGGCAAACATGCATCAATCCCCGCTACTTTGATGTGAAGAGAAGGGGTTTACCGGGTTTTACCAATCCCCATCCAATCCCCATTTCGTTGGGTGCTTTTCCCCAGCGAACAGTTTCATCGTCCCACAGAGTACGGATGGGGAAACCCAATTTTTTTTATCCCATTCTACCCACCATAGTAACTATAATCCTATAGACCATATCACCACCATACACCCAAATTTTTAACACCATTATAACCACCATATACCCAGATTTTAACCACCATCATAACCACCATCATAACCACCATCATAACCACCATCATAACCACCATTAATGATCATAGAACCACCATCAAATTCCCATTTTCGTCGGAGATTTTCGTCAGATTTTGCTCCGTCAGGAGCTGGCAGAGTTGCGTAAAGCCTTGCTGAACCTACAGAGGTCGGAGCGCGGAGCGCTATTGGGAGATGCCCAGCTTGGTGAACCAGGAAATGGCTTAGGTTAGAACCCAAACAAGCTGTGTGGATATATATATATATAACTATATAACTATATATATATATATAATATGAGCGTACCTGGGGTATACAGTATACAGAACATATTTTTGTTTTAGTGGGTTATAAGCCATTTGTAAACCGCTGTATAACCCATATATTTGGATGAATCATAAGGTCCTCACGTCGTGACGTCACTGGAATGATGGGAATTGGATTCGGGGAATCCCCAAATGGCCGCAAGTTTCGGTTATTATGATATTTCAGCCAGATATGCATATATAGATATGTGAAGCATACTGGTGTGCCCTATATATATATACCGTTTGTTTTGTTGTTATTCACCAAAGAAAATTGTTTCGTGGCCGCTTCCCAAATGGGGTTCTCCACAGTCTGCCAGCCATTGCTGCAGAGGAGGATGTCTAAAACTGCTGACATCAGCGGAAGGCCGGGTCAAGCACCCGTCAAGCACCACGGTTCTACAGCCATTCGCTGCGAAGAAATTCTCTGCCCATGTCCTCAGAAGGGCAACACGAAATCAATCTTGGGCGTGAGCTCCCCTTGTCAGCAGAAAGGCAACTACGCAAGGGCTGTGAAATTTGAGGCTGTGGGGAAGCATCCTGAGTCTGCTTTTGACCGGAAGTAGATCCAGAAATTCCACACCAGGAAGCAAAGGATTGGAACAAACTGCCGTGGGAAGCCTTTGAGGATGACTTCGAATATGACTTCGAAGATGGTTTCGGATGACCGGATTGGCGTAGCGTATTTTCACACAAAGCCATGTATAACAGGCTGGTTGGTGGTTTGGAACATGTTTTATTTTTCCATATATTGGGAATAGTAACCCCAACTGACTAATATTTTTCAGAGGGGTTGAAACCACCAACCAGCATATATAACAGGGGTTACATAGCTGTTTTTTTCTGTTATGAGCTAAGCTCTTGCCATTCTGATGCCAAAAAACCAGAAAGATGGGGACATGAAAACTGGATACCTCCTGGGAAACATTGACATAGCGGGAACATCACCATGCAGCGGCGCAGCCGACTTTTTGGCCGAAGTTGTCCTGATTGTAAGCTGTTTTTGTAACCTAAATGGGGGATTTTCCAGCAAACCATGTTTGATTACCGGAGGGTTTATGCACACACACACACATATATATAGATATTATATTTATATGTATAGTTGTAATACATGCTTTCAATTTGATATGAGCCCTGAAAATATGGGATGCGGAAAAGGATCTTCCTACTGTTCTGAAAGGGTCCTGGGAGTGGATTCCATGTTGACCTTCAGTAGCCGGATAAGTTCCATCCGAAGAAATCCGAGGGATCCAACCGTTACCACATTTCTGGTTTCTCACCACTCAAATTGAAGCCATTGATGTTTTAAGGTTGGCTGACCCGAAGCCATTGATTGAAATGGATTGAAATGCTATGATGATCCCGAATGAGCATTCAAAACACCTGCTTGTTGATGATTGGTTAGGGGTTTATGCCATCCAAAAAAAGGGGGGGCATTATATCACCGTTCTTAAGCAGGACAAAGGGATGGCATATTGGGTCTTGAACATTGCTCAATTGGAATACAATGCTGCAGAATGATTGTGATATGCGAGAGCCATCAGAATGGATAATATGGGGATTATTATTTGGATTTAAACAACCCAGGACGAATATTTGAATAGTTACTCATTTAATCGCCCATATTTATTACCCATATCACATTCAGAAACATCATTTTGGGTCAGTATAACTATATCACATCAACATGGGGTTATCATAGTTATATAGTGATATGTACTATATATAGGTATTATTGTGGTTGTCAATATGCGATTATTGATAGTCTATACATTATAACATATTATAACACTATATCAATTGTTGTAGCCCTTGGTTATGGTGATCGGTGATCTGACCCCAGCCGGGCTATAACAATGGAGCCAGACCTAACTGACCCCAACGGCAGGTCCGGTGAAATGCTGGACGGCGCTCTGCTGGGCATGGCAGCTGCGCAGTGTGCGCGGCTGGGGGATGGAAAAGCCTTGACCTTGCGACTTGGTGCCGAGTGTGCCGAGTGCCGGGTGTGTCCTGAGTGCCTGGCTGTTTTTAATCAGCAATAATGTGGTTGAAACAATCAACTATAGTTGATATTAATCCCGAAGTTATGTGGAAGTTATAGGTGATACATCAACCAAAAAGGGATATAATATGATATAATCACCATAGTTATATCACCATATAATGAAGTATATCCACTATATTTCCTACAATGTGGTTAAAACACTAATAAACCATCCCGAAATTTTCCTAAATCACAATAAATGGTTGGAATAAATCATCAACATATGGGCGGTTTATTGTTTTTCCAACATTTTGGCTATTTTAATGGACATCTCTATCTTTAATCCAGTTTTAAGGTATAACCCAGATTGAAACTGACTATGGCTATTTTAATCTATTTTTATTGGGAACATGATGTGAATCCAGAGGACTTGGGGAAAAGGCATGGAATTTTCAGCAGGAAAAGTCGTTTTTCAAATCTGAGACATAATTCATAGTAAAAGCAACCATTTTAGATTTTCATGTTTTATTCAATAGAAGAAATTGAAGGATTTTGCCTAGAATATGCAATTGGCCAAGGATATTTCACGGGATTTTTCAACAGAACAAACATGTGGTTTAACGCTCCATTTTATTTACAAAGCAACTCAGGGTGATGCAACCGACACAATTTTTGGCAACATTTATTTTTTCAGAATGTGGGCTGTAGTCAATGGGGATTAAGCAAACCACTGGGCTTACTTCCGGGGATATTTACTGGGAATATACCCTCAAGTAAATCGAGATATATATGGAAAAGCCATGGGGAAACCTAGGAAACGATCCTGCGAAGGTGAGAATTTTTCCTAGTTAGCTGTTTTATTGGAAGCTGAAGATCTTCAAGCACAACAAAGGGGGGATGGCGGATGAAAGAACCCAAGAGTTCATCGCCGTAGCCAATTTGGTGCAATTGTAGCTTGCAGCGGCACATCGTTATTCCTACTCTATCCATCCAATTCTTGCCATGAAATTCTCAAATTTGGTAGAATGCTCGCTTCTTACTTGCCTTGGCTCTTATCCCTTCCTTGCCATCGTCAACTACAAGCTGGATCCAATGGAAGACTTTCGTTCCTGCAACGGCACTTGCTACTTCATCCGCCGCTTTGGAACAGAGGCGTTGCCTGCAACGTCGCCAGCAAATTTGAACCTGAACTGCAGCAAATACAAGGACTGGGTGTTTCCCTGCAGCAACAACAGTACCTTGGCAATACAGTTCCCAGTCTTTGTTGCTGTTGAGAACGGTCGCAACTTCTCAGCCGCCGCACCTAATTTCTGGGGGATATCTTTGAACATTCTTCAAGACGTCTTCTTGGACCTGATCGGCATGGTGACATCAGTGACATTAGTGACATCACAGAGGAACGACTGGCCAAACCCAGCACATGTCAACCAGACCATTTGTGAGACGAAAAGTGTGCGGGAGAAGATTGACAACCACTTGAATACAGGGTATACCATCCCAATTTACAAGCTCGGTATTGCCGGGTGGACAACTATGAAACTTTCGCATGATTGGTCTTTGCTGGCAGGTGTTCCAGAAAGAATCACACTTGGGTTGGGCATGGTTTCATGGATTTTTCAGTTGGTTGCATCCTGTGCAGCATTTTCTTGGGGCGCTGCTGCCGCGGAAGTTTTTGTTTCAAGAGTTTACAGCGAAAACAACGATGCTTGCTTTTACCTTCTGAAGCCTATTGAAACCTTGACTGCACTGGGAACACCTCTCGTCCTCCTGAGCCTCACTCACTTCAAGCTGAAGAACTTGATGCTGTCGGTGGTGAATGGTGATTTCTTGTACTACAAAACTTACGATGTTCCATACAGAGTAGTGGAAGCTTCGGCTGTAGGACACCCTTTACTGACCGTGGGGCTGCGTGGAGATCCAGGTTGGCCGGCTGCACCATATCAGCAGCTGACCTTTCGCCACATGTACCGATTGGCCCAGGTCGCTGGTTTCCTGTTCCTTTCTTACACTTGGAGTATGGTTTCGTTCATTCTTCCATTTGGCTTTGGAAACTTTTTCCTCCGCATGACAGAAGTGGCCCTGAGCCATGATTTCTCTTGGGGCTTGTTTGGCTTGATCAAGTTGGCCACTCTCGCAGCTGCTGGCACTTTTCTCATATGCCCCGCTGTGATTGCCGTACTTGCCGCTCGTATACTGAGCACGGAATTATCTAAATTGGGAAAAGCAATTTACTGCATTTTCGCAAGCGTTCCTTTGATTCTCTCGGCTTCCACTTCGGTTCGGGCCTGGGCGGTCTTCCGGGCAGTGGTCTGGCACCAAGGAACGGATGGAGCGGAGCAGCGTTTCGAATGGTACCTTTTTGGCACGCTGGCCGGGTACTTGGGTTTCTTCGGCCTATTTCTGCTGGACTTAGGTCCTGCAACAAGACTCTTACTCTCATACACAGGAACATTTGCTTTAGATGGCAGTCAACGAGAAATGCTTCTGGACGGAAGTGATGGTTTCACCTCTCATGTCGAGCAAGTCCTCGAAATGTTCAGCTCCCAGCCGGAGAAGGTGAAACATCTTCGACCCCACGACACAGAGAGCCATGCCCACCTTAACCAGCTTGAGACCTTTGATGATGACGGCTCCAGCAGTGGCACAGACGGAGTTACAGCCTGCTAGAAAATGAGCCAAGATTCTCCATAGATGGCTTTTGGCTGTGTCTTCTGATGTGACATGTCAGCGTCAACGGTGACGACGCTCTTGCGGCTTGAGGCAGAAAACAGGGTCCTGGTGCTTGTAGCAACATTTTTCAGCTGTGGCTCCAAGGTGCTTGGTGGAGAGGAAGGATCCGTGGAGGTAGGAATTGGTCAGTTTACAACTTTCGGACCATCTGATCTTTGACAACAATGGGTGGGTGCATTTGGATGCTAGGTCAGCATCTAAACATTCCATATCCTGATTGATAGCTGAATATCGTAATCTCCAAACATCTCATCTATTCTGGCAACAGTTTTGGAAAACCATCTACCGGGGTGAAGTGCTTTGGAGATTGAAATGCTGCAAACCGAACCCTCGGGACATTTTGTGAAGAGCATTGCGAACTACAGACCAGACAAAAGTGGGGAATCGTATTGCTCGTTCGATTTCCAAGACTCCGGCTGATCACTAGGTCACTAGAGCCTAGATGGCTCAATCCCCATGATCTTTGGCCACATTTTCGCCAGAAATGATCCCAGTGACGTGGCCAAATCCACGCAACCCCATGCTTCACAGGTGCCCATCTCTGACGTTGTGGCCTCCCAGACGTCTGATCTGGATATGTCTACAATCGGTTCCTAACCTTCATTGTTCTTGGTCGTAACATGTTGTAAACCTTTATTCCAACATGGAATTCGATCCCAATTGAACACATGACTATAAAATGACATCATCGTATATTTCATCAACAAAACCCCATCGAGTCGCCATGTTTTTCTCGAAAAAACCACACACACCGAGGATTTGCGGTTTCGCCGCCTCACGGCTAGAGCTCTGTGGCAGTCGCGCGGTGGTGGAGATGGCACAGGTGCGACAAATCCACCACTATAACTTGAGGTTTTAATGGGAAAATCAAGTGTACATCATAGATGTCATTGCCATGTTTGATTACCGGAGGGTAGCATGTAGAATTGCAATTTTTATTTCAGTTTTTTTTGCTTGAAGTAATTATCCATGATTTACCGTTTTGTCCCAGTTGGTCCATGATTTATTTTGGGGTAACTAAGCAATTTGGACCCCAAGACGTTGAGGACAAGGCAGCCTAGAGATTGGCTGTGAAGTCGATCTGTTGTGAGATGGATACCCTCAAAAGGGTCAACCTAATATGGCCCGAACATCAAAATGGTAGGTAATATGGTAAACGCCAAAACATTTGGGGATGATACTTACTGCCCATTTATGGTGATATTAGGGATGGTTTGTGAAACTGGGTTTACCACATTAAGTCATGTGTTTAAATCTAAAGGGATTTGTCCTTGCGAAACTAAATTGCTGGAGGTGGTTTCGTGGTTTCGCAAAGTCTCTCCCCTTTCTCCCCTTTACAAATGGGATACAACCAGATACCATTAAACCAGTTTAAACCAGATGAATATTAATCTGGTTAATACCTTTAAGTCAGTCACATGCCTTGTGTTCCCTTTACCCCTAAATGTCGGGAAGTTTTCGGAAACGCCACGGCGTTTCGACGTTTCGTGGTTCAGGCGGCTCTTCACCTGGACTGTGCTGAGCCCAGTTTTTTGCGGGCGCTGATGGCCTTCCTCGGCAGCGGCTGCAGCGGCTGCACCAACAGCCGTCCCTTGGTGAAACGACCGGAGGATCATCGGCGAAGTGATGAGTTGTTAATCCGACTGAAAATCGTTGTCCCATTTAATGGAAAAAATCTGACTGAAGACTAATCCTAGGTTTGTTAACCACTTGGGATGATCCTCAAAGTGGTGGAACTAGTTTTCGATTTCCCTCTGCTTTGAAGTGTTGTTCTTTTGTACGCTCCAAAGTGGATAGAGATACCATGTATGGCCTGATTTCTCATGAATTCTTGGTCAATGAATCATCCAAAATGTTTTGATGGTTAAATAGCTTAAGTCCCAATTTCTGGTGATATATCCAATTGTTTTGATGGTTTTTCATCCCCACGTTTCCTAGCACAGGTGACTTGGCGGCTGCGTCCAAAGTGCTGCTCCACAGTGCGGCACTTGGCGAAATCTCTCAGTTGGATCGTCCTTGGCAGGATCCTCCCAGTGATGAACCTGTAAATCCCAACATTTCCAAAAAAATCATGACCCAAAATCATATCATCATATTTCTGAATTGTTCCCCCTCTGGTAATCAAAGTCAGTCAGCCGGAAAAATTGGGTATATCATAAAATCTCTGGATAAATTGGTCAATTCCAATTTTTTCCGGGATAACATCAGATTAAATCAGATTAAATCATTATATCTATTTCCAGATATATCATATATCTGTTATTTCCCATATTAATAGATGTTATTTCCCATCATATGTCTGGATATTATCACCATAGTTATAGAATGGGCTAGCGCCCGGGTGCCGCCGACCATCCTTTTTTGGGGGCAAATCAGGACTGTGGGTCCTTGTATGGTGTTTTGCCGCTGTGCATTGGTATGCCAGTGGCTGCCGCAGATCGCAACAGCAATTCCCGCCCTACTTTTGCGCCCTTTTGAAACGGTGCTGCAGGGGAGGGTCTGTACACAAACAAACCATGCCTGTCTTGGACACGCGTTAACGCAATGTACGCCGTCAATGGGTCGCCCGTGTCGCCAACGTGCATGTCCATGACAACGCCTTCTTTGCAAGTTTGCCCTTGGGCTGCGTGGGCCGTCGTGGCAAACCCTGGAGCCAATGGAAACTGCTTCCGCGTGACACGGAGTACTGGCCGCCTCCGCCCTTTGTCCCAATGCCACGGTTTCTTTTGCGGCGCTACTGGAAAAACGTTGTCTTCATCAATCCCTTGGACACGCCAGGTGGTCTCGGTCTTGAACCGGATCAAGATGCACGCTGGCAACTCGTTCCAAATCTTCGTCGCCTCTTGCCTTGCCCCTCCGGCGGCATCCGCGGGCCAGACCCAGGTTCTGGGGTGGTGAAAAATTGGATTGGAGCGCGCTGCGAGCGAAATACCGAGACGAAAGACAATGCAAAGAATGTAATTAATGAATCAAAGCCGGCTTCTGCATTCACGGCGGGTCGATAGAAACGTACAGATGCGGGGAGAGTCTGCAAAGAATGCATTCGTCGGCACGTAGAGGCCCAGCAGCCATGGCAATGCATGGCCTGCACGGCCTGGAAACAGGAAGATGCATTCATGGCAAAACACGCAAGCCCACAAGCCACATTTTATCGTATTTGCACGTGCGAACAAACACAATGGTGTAGTGTCTGCAAGACGCGCAAGGACGAACCGAAATTTTCTGCCGCGGCATGGCAACGGGCACGCAATGGCGGTAGAGTGTGTTTGGCGTGTTCAGGTAAAGCATGGGGCTGGTGGAGATGCACCGTATGCAAAGTAAAGCAAGCAGCGTGCGCTTTTGAATCAACATCGTTCTTGTAATGGTGACCAAGTCTGTAGCAACTGCTGGAAATGCCCCCTTCCCCGGGGAAGCATCAGCAAAGCAATACAACGGGTAGCTGCAACGCAGGCCAAAGTAGCGGTGAGGGCAGCGAAAGAAAAAAAGGCACGTGCCATTGCTGATGTCTGGGCTGCCATCGCGGAACGAAAACGGAATAGAGAACAGGAGAGCCCCCAAACGCAGGAAGAAGCGCCGAAGGCAAAACACTGCAGACAAGAGAACGGAACAGAAATGACCACAGAAGGGCCTGCAGATGTGCGTGGCAAACAGGAAGGCAGAGAGCCTCGGAGAAAGGCACGAGTTTCCAATACCGGTGTCCTCATTGCGATCAGTCTGTGACCAGCACTATATGCACAGGCCGAGTCGATCCTGAGAACAGAGGGCCATGGAGGCAAACGGCCTGTGGCCAGAGTGCCTGGTCGAAGCTTCCGCGGAGAATTTTAAGGGTCAGAGGGCCATGGAGGCAAACGGCAGGCTTCAAGGCTCTAACAACAAATCCCTGCGGCCAGAGTGCCTGGTCGAAGGTGCCGCGGAGGATTTTAAGCATTTGGGGGCTGGCACACGGCAGGCTTGAACGCCCTAAGAACAGAGGGCCATGGAGGCAAACGGCAGGCTCCAAGGCTCTAACAACAAATGCCTGTGGCCAGAGTGCCCGATCGAAGCATTCAGGCATTTGAAGCCAACAAAAACAAGCTCCACACCTGCGGTGGTCTCAGGCGCCGCCCTTGCCTTGGCGAAGGCCAGGGTCGGCGGATATTATATCACCATAGTTATAGTGGATATATCCCAACTGATCAGAAAAATCCCATTAAAATCCCATGGTTGGGTCCACTCCCCATATCTGGTCTCCAAGTCGTGCAGGTCTCCGGGAGGGGCCCCAACTCTGCCTAGACCACGAGGGCGCTTTGAGGGGCCTGGCGGAGGCGGCGCAGCCCTTCTTCGCAGGTGGCGGGGTTGGGAAGGGTCATGGGGGTTGATGGACTGTTGGTCATTTTTGGGGTAGGACATCATGGGAATATGATATTTTTGGCAGGGTTGATGATTTAATGGTGATTTTTTGGTCTGATGAAAGTCAGATAACAATGGAAAAATATGAAAAGTATGGGCATTTTTGGATGAAATCTAGATTGAATAAGGGTTTGATGATGATTTAATGGGTGATTGGGGCGGTTGGGGTTTGTAGGCCTGGATGAAACCCTTAGATATAAACATCCCTTATATTTCCTTGCACCTTTTGCTTTAACTAGATATATATAGTGTATTGTATGTATGTCATATGTACAATAAGCATCTACCATAAATCGCAAGGTGTGTTTTGATACATTAGAGTTATGTTTGCCAACTTAGCTATGCAGGCTATAGATTCAACTACATGTAAACTCCTGGGTGAAAGTTATTCAACTCCATATTCATTCCATGTAAACTCCACATATTAAATAGGATGGTCTCTATATCCGCTGTGTTTGATGTTGATTTTTAATGCTTGGAAGTGCAGTTCCAGCAAAAAGTGGATATATTACCTCAGTTATAGGGGTTATATCCCAACAAGTTGGGGGTTATTGGATAGATATCATTGGTTATATTATATCACCATAGTTGTAGTGGATATCCATCCTAATTTATCCATGATAAATCCCTACAACTATAGTTGATATATACCTACAGTAGAAATTATAGGTGATATATCTAATCACCATAGTTATATCACCATACAATGAAGTATATATATATATATCCATTATATTCCATAGATACCCCCTGGTAAATTAACATACACCCTGAACATCATCAGTTTTTAATGGAAACCCATCTTCCAACCCCAACAACTGGCAGGGTTTTCATGGCTTGACGTTCCCATGGTTTTTCCGCCCTCCGGCCCTCGGCGCAGTGGACGTGGCCGTGAACGTAGCCACGTCTGGTTTGCTGCGCGACGCAGTAGAGTTCATCCATGCGGCCGTGCACGTGGCAGGCGGAAGGGACGTTGGGGAATATGGTGATCTATGTAGTGATTTATATGTGTTTCTATCACTTTCAAGTGGATTTCATACGTGTTTCTATCGCTTAGCCACTTTTGAGTGGTTTTATATTCGTTTCTATTAGCTTCGTTCTCTGTTTCAAGTGATACCTTCATAAATCGGTAGTTTTTCAAGCCACTTCAACCAGTGCCAGCAGCTGGGGTGAGCCGATGAGGGGATCCCGTTCTTCACCGGTCATTGGGGGATAAAATCTGTCAGCATCCTGTGATTTCTGGGGTCTTCTCACTGGATGGTGGTTTTTTTTATGTTTTTTTAGGCCCCGATTTTCGTGAAGCAAAGCAGATCTTCTGGTAACATCGCAGTTTGGCAGGTAGAAAAGCAACCTTTTTCCCCGGATCACATCCAATGCATCCAAATTTGGGTCTAAACTCTAATGTTTTCTAGTAAAGAATCCAAGTTTCGTTGGGAAAACCAATCTTTCCTCTGAAATTTCGTATTTTTTCAGATAGATCAGCTCAGATTTTTCTCCCCCCATCCTCGCATCAATAGTTCGACGTCCAGGCAGCCCGGACGTGTCACTGAACGGTCCTGAGATCCAAACGGTGGAGGAAGCGTTTTCCTCAGAGCCTCGATGTGAATGGCTGGTGGGTTGATTTCGGGAACTTTTTTGGCTGGTGAATCGCTGGTGAATGGGGATCTAACATGATTTATCCATGTTTGATATCACTCGAGAGACAAAAAGGCTCAGGCGTACAGGCCTCAGTGTGCAGTGAACACTCCTTAGTGAACAGGCCTTAGAGTGCAGTGAACAGGCCTCAGAGTGCAGTCAACTGCCGGCTTTACACTCCTCCTCGCCTGAGGCTTACTGAAAATCAAGATCAAACGGTAAGGGAGACGAACATTCGTCTTTGGGTGAAAATGTCTGTACATTGCGACTCAAACCTTTGTGTCTACTTTCAGATCAGCTTGCCGTAGCCAATCATTTCAAACCCAACAACAACTGCGCATGTGACAAAAGAGGGGCCGCCAAATGCTTCGTTAGCACGTCAGCGGTCTGGTCTTTGCTCGCCACATATTGCAATGTGATCCAGCCTCTGGAAGCATAGTCACGAATGGCCGCTGCCCTGAGCTGAAAATGGCGAGTTCGCCAAGTGGTGCGCTCAGTGGCAATGCGCAAAGCAGCCTGGTTGTCAATCATCAGCGCCAAATCGCAAGCGACACCCATGGAAGCCAAAGTATCACTCATGCTCAACGCTAAAGGGAGACCCGCAGCCGCAGCATAGAGTTCAGCTTCCGCTGTGTTGAGTGCTACCAACGTTTCTCGGCTTGACCGCCAGCTCAGCGGCACACCGTCCCACATGAGGACGACGCCGTACTGGGAGTAGTCTCCAGCGGGCGCCCAAGAGGCATCACAAAAGGCCTGCAGAGAAACCTTTGCCGTAGGATCTTTGAATGGCCGCATGATCAAACCATAGTCAAGCGTGCCCTTGAGATACCGCAACAACCGTTTTGCCATGCTGATGCACCGTTCTGGATCAGAAGTCATGCAAGATGAGCACCTGTTGACACCATATGCTATGTCTGGTCTTGTACGCGTGGCCAACCAATTCAAAGCACCTGCCACTTGCTGTGCTGCTTGCACCTGATCCTTGCTGACACTCTGCGACTCAGCCGGCGTGTTCGAAGCAAACGACTCAGGATCCCCAGTGGTGGTAGCGTGCTTTGCCTCACCTAAGCCCCATTTCACCAACAAGTCTTGCACATATCGCTTCTGATGCAAGCGCAGACCGCCATCAGCCAGACGTTCCACGTCCACACCGCAAAAGCGCAAGGTCCGACCCTGATCGTGTGCCTCCAAGACGGTTGGCTCTGAGGATTGCCAGAGCCCCCCGACGGCATTCAACACAGCATGAACAACATGCGATGGGCCAGTTGCAAGCATGTCATCAACGTATGTACACAACTTGGCAAGCACCTGTCCGTCACAGGTAACGGTCCACAAGGAAGGATCCGTCACACTTTGGACAAGCGTTGCTTCTTTGTCAGACAAAGGAACTTTCAAGCATTTCAACCGGGCGTCTCTTTCTTGCGCCCACAAGCGCGGGCATTCCCGGAGACCGTACAAGGCACGAGAGAGAAGCCAGTACTGCCCCTCGGGAATTAAGCCCATGTCTACAAGCACCCGAGGTGGAATGACAATAACGACACGATCGGGAGGCAACATGGCGTTAAGAAACGCAGACTTTATGCCAAGGGAGCCAACTGCCCACTTGTGGCCGGCAGCCTCACGCAGGACAGCACGTGCGACTGCGGCGTCTAAGGTATTGCAATAGACCGCATCCCAAATTTCACTAAAGTTGCCACAAACCGCAACTCGCAGCTTGTGCCTTTTGGGACCACCCGGACTGGAAGAAGGCTTCAAAGTCCAAACGGCCTTGGCTGGTAGCACTTCAGCACCCTCAGCCTTCAAGCGGCGCATGTGCTGTGCGTCTATGGGAACGTAAGTCATATGGCTTTGGAGGCCATGCAACTCTGTTTCCCCGGCTTGCCACCACTTCGCCTTTTCCTCACCAACACTCGCAAGAACGGTCTTGGCCGGGACATCAACAGCAACACTGTCAGGATCCATGGCAGCAGCAGCTTGCAAAACCGCAGGCGCGGAAACTTCATCACCACCACGCTCGCCAACATCTTCTACGAGAGCCAGAAAAGCCGACGAGAGGGGCAGTGTTTCCCATGTTGGTGGCGCCTTTTGCTTTCCACGCAAACGCCTTCTGCGGGGCACTGCTTGCCAAGGCGGTTCACTTGACAAGTCCGGCTGGGGTTGTGTCCCAAGTTGTGTGCCCTGCTCCCCCTGCTCCTCCTCAACCAAATCAGCCCAAGAAACTTTCTGCCGAAGTCTGTGTGTGGGGTTGGGGGTTTGGGTAGCACCAGGGGAAAGGACAGGTCTAGCGCAAGCAGTGGTCCCAACCGAGCCAGATTGATACAACACAAAGCTGCCACCTACAATTCGTTCACAAACACCCAAGTAGCGAGCCGAGAGCCCTCTGGGCATGAAGTCATTACTATCCCTTTGCCTTTGCCGCACCACCACCTGAGCTCCAAAGCAAGGCACGTCCTTCGGCACTTCTTCACCTTTGGCGTGCTTACGGAGAAGGTATGAAGCATGCAACATAGCCCATGGCCAGAACTTTACATCCAACCTGCTGTCAAGCAACATGGCACGAGCCTTCTCTTTCAAAATGCCAACATACCTTTCAGCAAGTCCATTGGCTCTAGGGTCACTTCCCTCGGTGGTTGTGCACCACAAGCCTTGCTGGAGCGTATACTGGTGCAAAGTTTTGTTGACAAATTCTTTGCCTCTATCACTATGCAACCTGAACACAACCTTGCCTTCGTACTCCGCCTGAATTTGCGCGACCACACTCGCCACAGCTTCAGTGACCTCTGTTTGGGTCTTGGTTAAAAGCCAACGGACGTAAGGCAACGGGTTGCCTTTTTTTTCCAAAGGGCGAAAAACTGCCACCAAAGCCCAACGCCAACCACCCTCTGCTGCCGCGTGGGGCCCGGTTAAATCCAAGGCCAAAACGCCACGTGACTTTTCATCATCTGGGACATGGCGATGTATTCTACCTCTGGAGTCAGCTAAGCGACAGATTTCACACTCAGGCTGGGATGGATGGTGGCCACACCGACGGTGCTCTTCGGCCTCAACATCCCTCACTGCTGCAGCAAAACACCGGGCCAAAAGCTCAGGCTCATCACCTAGGTCCTCTATAAAGGGTTCAACAAAAACAGGCATCTCCTCCTCCTCCTCCTGAGCATGGCCCGCAGCAAGCCAAGAAAACCAGGGATCGTCAGGATCGAAAGTCACCTCAGACTCGTCATCATCGGCGATGCAGAAAGACTGAGTGGAATCAAAGACCGACAAGGAGTCAAGGAACAAGCGGGCACAGTTGGGATCAGGACGGGATGACTGGACAGAGGAGCGCACGGATTGACGAAGGCGTTCAAAGTCAGGCTTGGACAAGAAAGGGGAAAAGTTCTGCTGCGACAACGAAAATACTTCACCAGTATGCTTGTCAGTCAAAGTAGCGACATCACGGTCCCAATAGAAAGCAAGGTCCAAGGCATGAATGTACCGACCCAACGACATGGCGGTGTCGCCGGCCTGCGGGGAAACAAGTTCTTCATGCTCGTCCAAGAAGGCCGTCTGGTCAGGCCCTAAAGCAACTTTCACAGCAACTTCACGCAACAAGCGCCAATCCTCCTCGGGGGCAGCCGGCCGCACCACGTGCGACGCACCACTGTCAACCAACGCACCTGGAGTGTCAGGCAACACCACCTGCGCCAATCGGGCACCACGCAGCTCAGGTTGGGCAGACGGAGCAGAACCAGAGGAAGCAGGACGCTGTCGGGCCTCAGAAACAAGTTCAAGCATTGTGGTACGCACCTGTTTAGCAACCAAATCCGCCAAGGACGCGTCAGAAATTCCTTTTTGGGGTGCTGGAAGGGCCTTGGGGGAGGGTTTGGGGGCAGCCTTAGCCTTACCTGCGGGAAGGGGTTTGTGTGGGCCACCATCGGAGCGGGTGGGACGGTCGCACGCCGACGCCTTGTGAGCAGACGAGCCACAGTGAAAACAGCGACCAGACGAAGGATCCAACCAAGCATGCTGCCAAGAACAAGCACCACCTTTACGGCATCCAGACGCTTTGCTAAAGAACTTGCAGGGCCGGGCAGCCGCGGGTTGCCTGTTGCCGTCTTGGCGCGGGTTATGCACGCCAGCGGATCGAGCAGCCAACTCATCCATCTGTTGCGCGGCTGCGTGGCTGTTTCCTGGGTGATGCTGTTGTTTGCCTGCATTGCTGTTGCTGCTTTTGTCCTGATCCTCAGCAAGCGACAAGTGCGAGCCTCACCTTGCAAGTACACAGCATAAGCACTCACCTTTTCCTGCGTAGCATGATGGTCAAGCCCAGAACTCACACGAAAAGTCTGTGAGCGGAACTTGAAATCCTCACAAGATGCTTCAACATGCTGCACAATCAAACGCAAAGCGCGATAACAAACGGAAGGGTCGGGTTGCACGAGACCGAGCTCCGACGCCCTTTTCACGTTTGCTTGCCACCGTCGCAGTGTGGCTTCCGCTTCTGTTGCAGTGCGGGCAGGCGGCGGAGCATGTATGAAATGCAAAACCGCTGCTTTATCCTCACTGCCCCCGGGAGAAAAAACCACATGCACAGCAAACAGCAAGTCAACCACCGCCAAGCGACCAGCGGTCACACAATCCTCTTTTATGCTCTGCGGCAAAGACGCCAACAGCAGAGGCCGAAGACGTTTTTCCAGAGCCAAGCAGGCCTCTGGGACCGTGAACTCAGGAACCAAGCCAACACGCTATGGGAGTGGCCAAAACGAACTGCTCATGGGTCTGAACAGCCGCATCAAGCACCCCACTCCAGTACGATGTTGCCCCTTCAGACAACGGTTCCACACACAAGTGGACTTGTTCGAGCCACTTGCGCAAGACTAAAGGGCGGTCCTTCTGTTGCTTCGGCTCTGGCAACTGGGGCAAAGACTTGAGCGGCTCAGCGTGCAACTTTTCCGAAGCCTGAAGACGCGTCTCTGACAGCCGGCTGAGTTGCAGAGTGTTCAGGACCTGCTGCATCAATGACATCTGTTGGCACATTTGTTCTTGCAATCGTGCATTCTCAGCCTGAAGGTGCGCTACGTTAATTGTTGAATGCTGTGATCTCAAGCCAAGAACCCAGGAGCTCTCGCTGGCCGTGGCCTCTGGCAACGGCTCTAAAGCAGGAAGATCATGAACAGGGATGGCTTCTAAAGGCCCTTCTGTGATTTGTTCCTCTTCTCCGCGCTCTGACTGTGACTCAAAGTCAGCTCTGCTGACCTCCAACGATGGCCGAGCTTCAGCTCTGCTGTCTCGGCCTGCTTGGCCATCATCAGCTCTGCTGTTTTGGCCCAAATTCACAGTTGAAGCCCTTTCTTGGATCACATTGACAGGACCAGGTGTGGAGGCACGTGCAATGTCGGCAATCAAAGCTTCTGTGCGTGCCCAGCCCTACGTCTCAACCGCAACAACTCTTCTGATGCAGCTAGTCTACCCCGCAGGGTTCTGATCTCTTCTTCCAAAGCAGCTGTTGCATCATCAGCTGCACTTTCTGCTAAGATATCAGACAGCTGCCCATGTATACCACGTAAGTGTGGTTGCATGCGATGAAACTTTGATTCAATGAGCGTTGGGGCTCATAACCCTAAAAACCTTAGCATCATCACCTCTTTTCACTCGAGAGACAAAAAGGCTCAGGCGTACAGGCCTCAGTGTGCAGTGAACACTCCTTAGTGAACAGGCCTTAGAGTGCAGTGAACAGGCCTCAGAGTGCAGTGAACTGCCGGCTTTACAGATTTAATATGATTTAATCCCGGAATCCCATCCCAAGGTGTGGCTGATCATCTTATTAACTAGCTGTTTGGGAATGGGTGGATATTTTGGCGAATACCCCCATGAAAATCCCAATGGTGAATGTTAGAGTTTATGGGGATATTCAACGGATTTTTTCTATGATCTGGTGAATATATCTGGATTCAAATCCAAATTTGTCTAAGTCATATATAGATATACACATATATATATATATACATGGTAGAAATGAGTTGGGATGCCCTAAATTGGTTGGTGGTTTGGAACATGAATTTTATTTTCCCCAATAGTTGGGAATGTCATCATCCCAACTGACGAAGTCCATCATTTTTCGGAGGGGTAGGTATACCACCAACCAGACACACACACACATATATATATATATATATACATGTAGATATAAGTAATATATTGGTATATATATATATTTCTAAACATGCAGTGACACGTTGTTGTTTTTGGGTTGACGAAAGCACCATCTCTAGCGAGTGAAGCTGCGCATTTTCGATGGGATTTTGGGATCCATCTTGGATGGTTTTCCATGCGATAGAGTTCGCTAGCGAAGTTGGTTTCTAACTATAACAAGTCAGTGTATGATACGCAAATAATATATATATATACACCCATAGGTATATATATATATATGTGTATATATATATATACCCATAGGCATATATATATATATAGGGTTATACACCAACAAACATAACAGGGGGGGCACCATCCTGTAGGGATTTTGGGACCCGACCTTTTCCATGGCGATTCGCCAGCGCCAGGTGCTTCGTTTCATCCGGCGCCACCTGCACCTGGCCTCGGCGCGAGACAGTGCCATGGTGGCGGGCAGCGTCGCGCAGCTCTGGCAGGCGCGGGATGGGGATATAATAATAATAATATATAATATATAATATATAATATATAAATGTATAGTATATAGATAAATATATATATATAGGTACATATATATATATATATGAGTCTATATATACACACATATATATATTATATGTATAACCATTGTTAGAATATAGAGTTATATCATTTACCGCGGTATTAGGGATATATGGTTGATATTAGGGATCAATGGTTATAGAATAGAGCTATAACCCAAAAGGGACATATAGGGAATATAAAAATAGTATCAATAGTGTTGGGATATATGAATAGTATCCATCCAGTCAATCTCAAGTTAAAAATCAATCAGTGAATGAGCTCCCCAGTGCGATATGGGGATGAGTCTGGCACCAGAGATTTGGGTACCCCATTTGTTTTTCTATGCCCAGTGGGGCTGACGTGGCGATATATGGGATTATATATATATATATATACATATATTTATGGGATATATGGGCATCCATAAAGGCTTTAATTCACCATCTATCAATGGTTTTCTATGTTCAAAAGATGGTTTGGAGCCAGACATAGTTGGATGGACATCGATCCAAGTTATCAATGCCCCTGGTGACACGTTTTCTCTAAAATTCCGGGCAAGAAGTTGTCAACAAAACGGTCTGGTTTGTGAATGGTGTTACGACTCATGAATTTGGTGAATCATGCATATTTGTTAAGTACATATGAACAAATCACTGGTTTGTTAATTAAATAACACCAATATTTTCAGTAATCATGAATAATAAACCATGAATAAATCATTAGGCATGATTCACCATTAATTTGTCAGTGATAAGCCATTAAATAAACAAACCATGGATCACTAATCCATCTGTTTAGGTGATGCCTCAGCTTCGTGAAGACGTGCTGTGGCCTTGTTTGGAGGCGGGCATCATATGGGGGAAACCGTTGATTGGGAGGAGTTTTCCATGATTTTTCCCAGGGAAAATATGGGGAAATCCACTGGAAACTATCCTTTTCTTCCGTTTTTCTCATGTGTTTTTTCTGGGAACAACTTGTCGATCTCATGAAATTCATGGGGTTCAACTCAGAAAAGATTGTCCAATGAAACCATGTTCAGCATGGTAACGGTTCGATTCGGTTCGGGAAATTGGTTCCAATTTCTGGTTCGCTTAGGTGCACGGTTCGGTTCATAGAGGGTTATTGAATACACTCTGGTAATTTAACGTAGCTATTGGAAATCACCATGCTATTAATGGGTAAATCCACTATTTCTATGGGCCATTTTCAATAGCTTTTTGTATGTTTACCAGGCCGGGTAAACGGTTCATGGGAAATCAGGATGTGTTCCAAACGGCCAGCCAAGACTCTGATGATTTTCACAACAGTCACATAGCTACACCAAAAATCTGGATAGGAGGACCACTTCTCATACGGCTATGAGTCATAACCCTGGTACCTAGTGAACCACAAAACAGCTGGTAAATGGATGTTCATCCCATTAAAATTGATACTAATAGGTTTTGACCCATCCCCATACTTCTCACCTGGTGGATGGTTTTGAACATGTTCCAACCTGAACAACATGTTGGGCATGTTGGTCGTTGCATGATGTGATTTGTCGGAACATCGACATGTTCGTGGCAAATCGCCACTCATTTCCACTCCAAACTGAATGATCTGAATTTTTGGAAACTTGCGATATTTTTTTCCCATCAAAGATCTCCAAACAAAATCAGAAAAGGGCTGCGTTTCCCATCTTTGGCCCGTCGCAGGACGTCGCGCAAGGCGCGCGCTTCAAGAGTGAAGATTTCAACTGTCAGGCGCCGGGCCGGATTTTTTCAGATTTGGAACTCAGACTCAGTTGATCGAAGGAAACTGGATCAGCTTACCCGGCCTGGTAAACATCCACAAAATGGTGATCCACTATAGTTGCGAACTTGAAAAATGGTGATTTAGTTGGATCAGCTTACCCTCTGGTAAACATACAAAAAACGATGGAAAGATCCACCATGCTATCTAGCTGGGTAGTTATCCACTATTTCGACTGGGCCATTTTCCAGTTCGCTATGCAACAAATTACCAGAGGGTAACCATTATTAACCATTAACCATTGATATCCCATATGGATATATCAGCTTCATTAAGGAATGAGGACCACATCTACTGATCCCCAAAACTTGAGGCAACATGGAGACTGAAACAGATCTGGTTTCAGTTTCTTTCGAGTCCAGCGTCAAGCTAGACTTCTCCGTTGGATGAAATCAAGGCCCTTGAAATATATATTCCAATATCTACATCAATAGACGTCAATAGACATCAATAGACATCAATAGACATCAATAGACATCAATAGACATCAATAGACATCAATAGACATCAATAGACATCAATAGATATTAATATATATATATATACATTAATAGATATTAGATATTATTAATAGATATTAAAGGGTTCATTAAAAGATCGTAATTTAGTAGATTCCATTCTAATCTCTATCTTTCATCAAAGATGTGGAGACCGCCATGTGACCTGTCACAGGACATGGCTGCGGTGGCTCAAGCCTTTGCGAAGTTGGAGCGGCCCAATGAAGTCTATGCCACGGCCACATGACGGAAGTGGCAACAGATCCCCGTTTGGGATGGTCTGGTGAATGGGATATCCCGGATTTCCCGTTGTTATCCCCAATAAAAATGGGATAGCAATGGGATATTCATGGGATAATCATGGAATATAGATGGTATATCCCCATTTAATGAGATGATAATGGGATGATCATAGGATTATTAATGGTTTGTTAATGGTGAATGGGTCATAAAAATGGTGGTCAATCATGATTGACCGTAGTTTTTGCGTCTGTTTTTTGGAAGAAAAGAGGACGCGGTCTGAGTCACAGTCGCCAAGCAATGCCCAACCGGTTGCAGCAACTGTTTCCCGCTACGGAAGCACCTGGAAACTATGGCTTGGTCGTTGAGCATTACCCTCTGGTAAACATACAAAAAACTATGGAAAATCACCATTTATAACAGGTAAATAATAATCTATAAATGGTCCATTTTCAATAGCTACGTTAAATTACCAGAGGGTATATTATGGATGATTGTGGTAATCATACCATTTGTAATGTGCTAAACCCAATGCCATAAACCTACCATTTGGGGATGCTACCACCCATCTATCATGATTTTGGGGATGGTTTATTGTCGGCGTTACCATTTTTATCCATTTTTGATGTGGATTAGGGTGAATTCATAGCGTTCTCACCACGTCACAAGAAAAGATGGTTCAATCACCTATAGACCGATAGATTCCGTATCAGATCCCCCATGAACCCCATGAAACGCTTATTGTTGGCAGATTTTCGGGTCTCTCAAAGATTCCCTGGCCTTCTAAAAATTCCAAGGAAACCATGATGCCATGCCAAACAAACCACATATTGCACCACCCCATGATTTATACCCATAAAATATGGTGAAAACCCCATATCAGGTCTTCCCCACAAAAAAAAACCATATATGCATCATAAATCCAACAATTCACCAGAATCCTCCACTTTGGGGGTCCTAAATCCCCATCGAAAAAGAACGTATGCAGTAAATCCCATGAAATCCTCATACAAACAGCATGAAATCCCTATACAATTGGCCAAAGTCAGGTCCTCACACATGAAATCACATTAGATTCCCAAATTAGTGAAAAAATCCAGCAATATTCCCATAAATCCACCATTAAAACCATCTATGAAGTATTTGGATCCCCCAAATTTTCATGTATGCATCATTAAAAAATCACCATAAGCCACCATCAAATCCCCTCCAATCCCCATGAGGTTTCTATAATTCGATTCCCACCATAGGCCCCACATTTTTTTAACCATAAATCATCAATTATATACAACAATTTGCCTAACATTTGCTCCTAAATCCACTATAATTTCACCATAAAACCCATCAAATCCCATCAATTCCATCAAAAAACTCCGGTATTTTTCTCCCCCAACAACCCCATGAAAAATCCATCAAACTCCATGGAGAATCCTCCATTTGGAGGTCTTAGATCGTTGTTTCTGCATGCCACGTGCTGCGGACCGCGACCTGTGCTATCTTTTGTGGGCTGCCGCCACTGTACCACGCTGGGCTGACTCACCGTGCCCCGGAATGGGGAAACATGTGGTGATTTGCCTATGGAAAATAGGGTACCACCCGGGAAAAATGGTGAGTTCATGGTGATTCAATGGATTTTTCCAATTTCAATCAGGGTTCATTAGTCCGGGGTTGATACGAATATGATTTCACCATGAACAATGTAGGAAAGTGCTTTGAAAATATGGGGGCGTCAAAAATAGTTGAACAAAAATCATCAAGAAGATCAAATATCACAACATCATCTTACATACCAACTTTTCATAGGATCAGCTGTCCGGATCAATGTCAGGAAGGCCACTTTTTGTTGATTGTGAACATCTTCAACTCCTCATTCAAGTTTTCTGTCACCGATGTTGAGCGTTTTTGCAGTTATGTCATCATTTATAAGTTGTGCTGCAGAACAAATCAACGTGTGTCTTAGTTGGTTCATCTCCGATCAGTCAGAGTTGTTTCAATCCGATCTTTATGGTTGGTCAAGTCCCAATTTTGCAAACTTTTTCTTTGCCTTCGTTCATCTCCGCAATTTGCACACAGGAATCTGCCACATCCAAGAACTTAACCGCTTAGATCACTGCCCAAATCAATCTTTTTTGATAGGTTGCTATTCCCCATTCTTAGCCCATTGTCACTACATTTGGGTGGTACAGAACCAATTTCCCTATAGATGTTTTCCGTAAAGCAACCCATTGACTCTATCCAGTTCCCACTTTCAACAAAACCCAGAAAATACCACCAGAAAATGTGTTTATATGGAATTATATCACAAAATATTCATGTCTATATGCACCGTCTTTCACCATATTTCACCCCTTTCAATGTCCTGATCACATAAATCAAGCATACATAAAAACATTTCACCACATATTTCTCCACAAAGGGTCACTAAAAAAAAGCACCATATCTGGTTGGTGGTTTGGAACTAGATGTTTATTTTTCCATTCAGTTGGGAATGTCATCATCCCAACTGACTTTCAGTCCATCATTTTTCAGAGGGGTAGGTATAAACCCAACCAGAAATCCATTTAACAGTTTGCTATGGTTAAAATGACCCAGTCGAAATAGTTGATTTACCATAGTGATAGATAGATATATATATATATAATATAATATATAGTGATATATCCCAATAATTATAGTTGATTTATACCCATTAATAGCATGGTGATTTTCCATAATTATAGTGGATTTACCCATTGAAAATGGCCATTTATAGTTGATTTACCTATTAAAAATGGTGATTTTCCATAATTATAGTGGATTTACCCATTGATTTACCTATTAAAAATGGTGATTTACCTATTAAAAATGGTGATTTTCCATAATTATAGTGGATTTACCCATTGATTTACCTATTAAAAATGGTGATTTTCCATAATTATAGTGGATTTACCCATTGATTTACCTATTAAAAATGGTGATTTACCTATTAAAAATTATGATTTTCCATAATTATAGTGGATTTACCTACTGATTTACCTATTAAAAATGGTGATTTACCCATTAAAAATGGTGATTTTCCATAATTATAGTGGATTTACCCATTGAAAATGGCCATTTATAGTTGATTTACCCATTAAAAATGGTGATTTTCCATAATTATAGTGGATTTACCTATTAAAAATGGTGATTTACCCATTAAAAATGGTGATTTTCTATGGTTTTTGTGAAAAATTCACCACGACAAATCGCCAGGATTTCGCCGAGGTTCGTGGGCCGCGCGGTGTTGGAGCTGACGAAGCGCGATGCGGCACAAATGGCGTCGAAGGATCTGACGCAGCTGCTACAGTCCTTGGGGATGCCTGGAACGGATGGAGGGGGGAAGCATATGGAGGATGGACGATAATAGTTATAATCTATAATAATGACCATTATCTATAATAATCTATGGATTATAATCTATAATAATGATCATTAATAATGATCATTAATAATGGATTAATAATATCATTATAATAATGGTTATAATTAATAGTTATAATAATGATCCATACTATAATTATAATAATGATCATTAATCTATTATAGTCCCATTACCCGGCCTGGTAAACATACAAAGTTAGCGAACTGGAAGCCATGGCCCATGGTTAAATAGTTGATTTTCCCATAGGATGGTGATTTTCCCATCAGTTTTTTGTATGTTTACCAGGCCGGGTCGCCCTGTCAATGTATAGATTCTATAGTTAATGGAAGATCCGAAACGAAACTATAGTTTTCTATAGTTAATGGAAGATCTATAGTTAATGTTAATTAATGATCCACAATGGATGATGATAACTGTTTTTTTTTTCCCATTGTAGGACATCACCGTTGTGGATGATGGATGAAGTTTCGAGTTGAACATGGGGATGTTGGATGGATGGTGAGAAATCACCCATAGAAACTGCTGGTGATTTCACGAAGAAAAACGTGGTGATTTTTTCACAAGAAACATGGGGATATGACAAACAAATCTTGCGGATATCACCGGGATATCTTGCGGCTTAACTTGTGCCCAGAAATCATGGGAGATGAGGCTAAAGAACAGAGATATATCATGATATATCGGATATGGCACAAGAAGAATAAGGATAACTATGGCACAAGGAGAATACTGTAGGGGTGCGAAACAGACATGTGTTTGTGTTTTAAAATATGTGATTTGGTAGGAAATATGATGATTAACCTGTTGATGTGATGCACCCGATTTTCAGACGAACCCGAATCACGGTTTGTTTTAAATTGTTGATTGGTGTACACTGCTGCCTTTAGTATGGCAGTTACCCATCAAATCCATCAATGATGTGGGCCCCGAGAAACATCAAAAGCGTTTTCGCCCAAACATGGAGTCTATCAAACACGGAGAACGATGATTGGTTGTTTGGGAGGTGGAAAGAATGAAACCAACAAAGGGTGTGACCAACACCCATAAATGGCATCCTTTAGGTACATCATGACATCCCTTTTCTGCATCCAGTCAGGTTGTCTTACCAGAGTTGTATGTCAGACTCTGCCTGTGTTTATCCAACACCTGAAACACAATCTGGTGTCTGAAAACAGAGCACCCCCAACATCCTATGATTCATGATGATTTTCCCATATTTTCCCTATGAAATTTGCTTTACATCATCTGCTAGGGGCATCCTTTATCCATTTTCACAGCATTTCAGCTTTTCAGATCAAGCCGCCTGCGATTTCTCATCCCATCTGTCGCGATGCAAAAATGCTGGTTATTTCTGCTCTGGACACTGCTTCATCTTCATCATCTTCATCCAGCTACAGCCGTTTCGGAAGCTGGTGAAGCTGGTTGTCCCCCTTTGGACAAAGATTCCATGGGGATTTGTGTGGAAGAATGTGGCTCAAGTTCTGATTGCGAGAGTGCTGGAAAGGTGGGACACCTCTGTTGTTCCAATGGTTGTGGTCATGTTTGCACCAAACCTTCGGGTGCCCAAAAGTCTCAGAAACCCCTGGTGATCATGGCCGTTTTGCGTGACAACGTCTTCTCCGCCGTGCTGGAAATCCTTCCAGCGCCGTTGAGCTCATCGGAGCTGCGCTCGGTGAAGATTCTGACGTTGAAATACGGCGACGCACGGCGCGCCTGCGCAGCCTTCCGAATCCTGGAGGGGCACAAGGAGGTGACGTCCGTGGAATTTGATGGAGCTGTGCCAAAGTGTGGAGAGGAGCTTTGAAGACAGGGTGACGCAGGCACGCGGCCACGCGGTCTTGGAACGTCTTAGAGATAGCTAGTGGCACGACTGATTGGGCAGGGTAAATGATGTGCTATTCTATGTGGACTTGTGACCCAGTTGTGCTATCCGGGCTCTTGCAATACGCTGGTGGGTGAGAAAATTGGTCCAGAAGAGTGTCCAGGAACGTGGGATGTTGTGGACTAAAGTTTTGAACCTGTGGGTGCGCCCACCGTGGTGGTAGCAGCAAAAAAAATCTAGGCAAATTGGCCATGTTGGATAGTTCTTAGCAATGTTTTGGAATTCCTGTGACTTTAAATTTATTCAGATTGGCACAGGGTCAGTTGGCGATGTGCATTCTAGTTCTGAAGTGGATGGTTCTTCGTGGTCAGTAGTGGGGAATGAAGCGGTGTTCTTCTGTCACTCTACAGTATACTCAGTAAACAAACGTGGCAATGGGAAATCCCGAACTATTTTTGGGGTACTTTCCAGCCATGTTTGATTACCAGAGTTTACTAGCCATGGTTCATTGATCATATCATTTCTGGTTAAATCCCATTGTTCATAGCTGGTTTGCACCGCAGGGTGCAGATACACCACTTCATCCAACAGATATCCCATCTGTTGGTGATAATATCAGCCCTTCAGCTTGTTTGTCAACAGCTTTACCAGCTAAAGAGATCATTTTCATAGGGATTTCAACTAGATCTGGTTGGTGGTTTGGAACATGACTGGATTATGACTTTCCCATCATATTGGGAATGTCATCATCCCAACTGATTCATATGGTAGGTATACCACCAACCAGAGATTCAACATCCCCCAAAAAAACACCATCCCTTTCCCCCTTTTTTTCTAACCCTTTGGCCATGGCTCCGTTAGGAAACTTCTGCGCCTTCCGGGACAGGCGCCGGCGCGCGTAGCTGCGCTGCGCTGGCAGCTGCAGGTCTTGTTCCTGGAAGGCGTCCGACGGTCGCAGAGCTTCGGGACCAAGGAGAGTTCCGTGGAAAACCGAGGGATTTTGGTGGGGAAACTCCAGTGCTCAGGTGTTTCTTGGGAGCATATGAATTGGGGTTCAAGCATATATCTGTATATATGAGAACACATGAATTGGGGTTAAGCCATGTTTATTTGTATAGTCCCATGTTGGCCTGTTAGCTCCCGTTTTCGATGTTTTTTCTGGGGTGAGGGGCGAGTCTGGCGTCCATTTCAGCAACCAAAAATGGGGGATTTAAGTCAGAAAAATGGGGATTTAACCCATAAAGATGTTTCAATGAATGGAAATATTACGTTTTTTTCCATGAACAATGGGTGAGGGTCATGGGATATAAATGGGAATCCTTTTAGAAAAAAATAATGGGATATACCAGCAACCTTGGGATATCCCCATGATTTGATTTTCTATCCAATCAATGGAGAGCAGTGAGTTGGGAGCTAGGAGTTGGTTTCCCAACTTCAATGATACCCTCTGGTAAACATACAAAAAACAATGGAAAATCACCATTTTTAATAGGAACACTCACTATAAATGACCATTTTCAATAGCAAACTGTAACAAATTACCAGAGGGTAGTTGAGCATTGGTCTTTTCTCGTACGATAGTGGAGATGAAGTGTGGAATCTCTCCCATTTGTTTGGACAAAACCACCAGGTCACCATCCTCCAGACGAGATTTGGGTGGTTTAAAGTCCCATAAAATTGCTGAGTGCTGATTTTTGAGCCAACAGGTACATACAAAAAACTGATGGGAAAATCACCATGCTATTCTAATGGGTAAATCAACTATTGAACCATGGTCCATGGCTTCCAGTTCGCAACCTGTTAATTTACCAGAGGGTAACCATCATTAACCATTGATATCCCATAATTAACCATCATTAACCATTGATATCCCAGATTAGGATAGCATTGACCATCATTAACCTTTCCGATTCAATTCCATCCGCCAGGACTTGGCATGCTTGGAACGGGCTAGGGAGGCACTTGAGCAGGAGCCGACCGACCTATCGTTTTATCTTTGTTTTTTGTTGGGTGATCCCCCAACATTGTTTCAGAAATGACATTTTTGACACCTTCATATGTTTCTGGGTGCCCCCATCTGTTATTTAAACAATGGGTAAATCATCATAGCTGCCATGTCCAGAGGGGAAGCACCATTTGCATGCTTTTCATATCTCCATGTTTAAACTGTTAAATCATGTTAAATCACCGTCATTTCATGATAAACTAATTCTTGAAGTCTTACATGTTTACTATCGTGAATTTTCCATTGAGCTGGATGTCTTTGATCATGATCTCAGGTGAAGTGGCGTCACTGGATTTTGGATTTGGGACATGACCCCAAGGAAATCAGCTATTTTCAGGTGAGTTTTTTTTTTTTTAAATGAGCCAGATTGATCCATATTTCCAGACAGTTTAGATAGATATGTTTCAATGGATTGGTTTTCCAAAATCGGAACCGGAAACCATGGGTATTTTCCCATGAAAAAACTGGAGCTTTTCTGTAGATTTTCCCAACAAAACCAATCCAGTTTAGAGATGTTCAGATGATCTTTCCCTTAGAATTTCCAAGGTTTCCAACTGATCGGCCTCTAGGGGCTGATATACCAAATCCCAATATATATATATATATATATCTGATATCCCCAAAATGATGTTGGTTTTACCATGATAATCTGATATTGCCCGGTCAGTTAGTCTCTATCATATTGTTTTAAAGGATTTAGATTACCATTGATCCATATTCTTCATGGTCACCAATGATCGTAGGATGAAGCGCCTGTGGCTGGCTATGGCGGCTCGCCTTGCAACTTGGTGGAGTACCCCTCTGAAAATGGATGGTTTTGCATAGAAACTCCCAAACAAAAATGGGTGCCTCCATTTTAAGAAACCTATATCTATCTATCTGTCTATCTGTCTATCTGTCTATCTATCTAATCTAATCTAATCTAATCTGATCTGATCTAATCTAATCTAATCTAATCTAATCTAGTCTAATCTAATCTAATCTAATCTAATCTAATCTATCTATCTATGTGTATTATAACTGGCGTATATGTATGGTTATGAACTGGTCATGGGTTTGTTGAGTAAGCGTTTTTTGACCTTCCCCTTCGACTTTGGACCATTTGGGCAATCCATGGGGGGACGATGGTGGCCACAGGGGGGCCCTTGTTGTTGGGAGAAACCCTCTGATGATTGGAAAGAACATTTTTATTTGCAGAGTACATAAGAGTAGCCCCATTGGGAGTTGGGTATGTGATTCTTCAACACGAGTAGGAATTCTCTTTGGTAATTTTACATAGTTACATAGCTATTGAATCACCATTGAATAGGTAAATCATCTATGTCTATGGGCCATGTTCAATACTTACTGGTGCTTAGCAGGGAATGAGGGAATGATCCAATAATCACTAGTAATAATAATCCTATTCCCCCATTCCTATCCATTCCCTACTAAGCACCAGTAAGAATAGCAAACTGTTAAATTACCAAAGGGTCTAAGCCGGGAGAAGCCGGATATTGAGATCTATATAACCGTCATGGGACATGGGACATCATGGGACACAACCGCGATCGAGACGGATTTCTACGCACAGCCGGGGTGCTGGGTTTGCAGGGCAGCCAAGCAACACACTAATCAACTATTAAAGATTGTGATTTTCCATAGCTATGTTAGTTTACCAGAGGGTATTTAACTAAATTTTAGTAGCCAATCTTGAATGCCGTTCTCTCTCTACTGATCTTCTCTAGATCAGTGATAAACATTGACAAGAGACCACCAGTTTCGTAAGTTCGGGGGATCACTATTTGGGGATAACCACCCAGTTTTCTGGTAAGGGCTTACCAGATCCGGGGTTGACATTCGCTAGTTTCTCAATGACAATCGCTATGTTCATCTTCTGTTCTGATTAGCAAAGATGGGAATAACTCATGAATAACCATCTTTGTTGTTGATGTCCAATCAATAACTATAATTTAAACGACTTTCTCTCTTATCTATCTTCCTTAGATCAGTGATTTGATTAGTGATCGAATCAATGAAATTCATGGTTGGATAACTAATTCAATTCCCCTAGTATTCAACAGCCCCATTCTATGTTCCCAAGTACGTAGATTTATCCCAACAATTCACCATGGTTTCTAGATGTTTCTAGGGGCTGTGAAAAAAATCGCTTGGACGAGACCCTCCTGTAATAAACATACAACAAGATGTACACAATTGAAGGGAAACCACGGGTTTTCCACATCTTTTTGCAGGTTTACCTCGCTAAATCGTCAAAAAAAATGACTTATTTCATTATGATGGTGACTGGAACCATGGAATTTTATGACCTTCCATTCAGTTGGGAATGGAATACAGCCCGAGCGCTGGTGAAGAATCCGAAAGCTTGAGGTCCAGGGTCCCTCAAATTCTTATTTTTAAATCCAGGCACACTACAACAGGCCGAGGGTCCCTCAAATTCTTAAGGCATTCTTAGTATTGTATTGCAGGCATCTGCACAATTTGGAGCAAGATTAAACAAGGTAACGAGGTGGAGTTGGCAGATTTGACTATTCATGCGAAAATATGTCTTCAAAATCGAGCTACAGCACGATTTTGCGTTATACCAGGGTTTTGGCCGCGCTGGGCTCTGTCGTGGCCGGAATCCGGCATAGCTGTTCCGGCTACGCTGGTTTTTGGCCTTGGTTGCTTGCCGCGGGGCCGCGGCGCCAGGAAAACGCAAAAACGCGTGTAGATCGACGATCTACGCGCGATTTTGCGTTATACCGGGGTTTTGGCCGCGCTGGGCTCTGTCGCGGCCGGAATCCTGCATAGCTGTTCCGGCTACGCTGGTTTCCCGCCTTGGTTGCTTGCCGCGGGGCCGCCGCGCAGACGCAAGATGACACCCGCCACGCCCGGGAAAACGAAAAACGCGCGTAGATCGACGATCTACGCGCGTTTCTGCTTTTTGAGCCCGGTTTCGCTGGGCAGAGCAGTCCCAGGGCCCACTGGAGAGGCCATAAAGGCTAGGGACCGCCGGGTAACTCCGGCAGCGGCGGCTCGGCGGTTTATCCAGCGGACTAAAGTTCAGCGCCCGGGCGCCGCACCCGCGCCAAGGCTAGATTCTCCCCCGGCGCGCCCTTCACAGGCTTGGGCTTGGCGATTTTTTGCTTGGAGGAAGCGAGTCATCACACGGTCCGTGTAGCAAGTCACGCTCGTGGTCATGCTTGGCATTCGCTTTACTATTTGATATTTTCTATTCTTGCAATGCGCTTGCCAAGCAGATTTGACAAGAGGCATGCGAAAATATGATTTTGTAGATCTTGAATTTGTTTTTTTGCTAAGCCAGGCTTGTCTGAGTTTCGTGCGGTTAGAGCGCAAAAAAGAACGTTTTGGTCTCCAGTACAAGGGCTCACGCCTAAAAAAATAAACGCAAAAAGGAGAATTTCAAACCTCACGTATAAGCAATAATTTAAGAATTTGGCAGTCCTATTCCAGGGCCCCTCAAATTCTTAGAGCTGAAAATATGTAGCCCGCCTTGGAATCGAGCCCCTCAAATTCTTATACAGTGAATTCTTGTACAATACTCAAGCTGTAATGATCCCAACTGATGAACTCAGTCCATCATTTTTCAGGGGGGTAGGACTCAACCACCAACCAGAAATCCATTTTAACAGTTTGCTATGGTTAAAATGTCCCAGTCGAAATAGTTGATTTACCATAGTGATATATATATATATATAATATAGTGATATATCCCAATAATTATAGTTGATTTACCCACTAATAGCATGGTGATTTTCTATGGCTATGTTAAAATTTTAATGGGTGTTCCACCGACGTTTGATCTTTCCAATTTTCGAATTTTCCACCTCACCGAGGCCTAGGTCCACCGCCTGGCATCGACGGCAGAGAGGAAAGCCACTGGTTGTGTTACCCAAAATGACGAACTGGAGGAACATCATTAGCCTTCTATGGCTATCCATAGATATCAATGTTTTTTTTGATGGTTCATGCTATCCTAATCTGGGATATAAATTGTTAATGATGCTTAATCATTGGCTGGGAAAATCATGGAACTGTGGGATTTTCCATTGCCAGCTATGATTACTGGAGGGTATATTTGGGACTTATATATAGATATTTATGGATAGATATTTATGCTAGATAGCCTCTGGTAAACTGACATAGCGTAAAACATCAGTTCATCATCATGATTCCATTCTCCATATGAAATCATCTTCATCATCCATGTTCCGTTCATTTTCCACATGATGCACATGTTCTAATGGCCATAACATGGAAGATTAGCAGCAAAAAACACGTCCAAAAACCCATGTTTCTTGTGCATTTTGAAACTTTTTGTTCACACTTTGCTGAAGAAGGGTTTGTCAATATGAAACCGGGCTGAAAACTGGAAGATGGTGACTTGCCATCTTTCCGCCAGAACCACTGGCAATGCTGTTTTTTTCCCCAGCTTGGTAAAATTGCACATCTAAAAAAGAGTTGATTTATTAACCCCTATCAACTATCTATATATATATATATGTATAGTATAGTATAGTATACACGTCATAAACCTCGTTAAATGAGTGATAAAGCAACTTGGACTGGAACTTAGCTTCGCTCCCAATCCCAGTGGCTTGGAACCCATTGACCCATCCCTGGAGGAAGCATCGTGTCACGACTCGCCAGGACTGGTGTAGAAATTCGTTGAGTTTTGAGAACTGGATGGTGGTGACTGGAACCATGGAATTTTATGACTTTCCAATAATATTGGTTGGGAATGTCATGATCCCAACTGATGAACTCATATTTTTCAGAGGGGTAGGTTGAAACCACCAACCAGAGAATGTTGACGATTTTGGATCCCTTAAGATGCTCTGAAAATGCATCCAGTCCCGTGTTTTTTATTGAATAAATGGGTCTGAAAATGGAACCCAATTGAAATGGCCATGAAACGAGGCTTCGAAGCGAGTTGAATTATCATTTTGGTTAACCAAATTAACCATCATTAACCAGTTGAATCTCCATTTATTAACAAATATGGCTTCCAAACATCATTTTTTCCCCATGTCCGATGGAACCAGGTTCCCACAGCCACGGCGAATGCCACAGCCATGGCCACGACGGGCACAGCCACGGCCACGACGGCCACAGCCACGACGGCCACAGCCACGACGGCCACAGCCACGGCCACGACGGCCACAGCCACGGCCACAGCCACGAGCACAGCCACAGCACGTGCACAGCGGTGATCAGTCACGGTGATGCCCATGGTCATCAGACCAAATGCGAAGGTGGGGATGCTGGGGAGGGATGGCTTTTATTTCACTATGGGGATTTACCCTCTATTCTAGCTCCAAGTTACCCAAATTCAGAAAATGTACATATACTATGAATCCATCGTACTCCAGACCTGTCTCTTTGGACCCCATGTTTTCCCCACCTGTTTCCCTGTGTGTGACATGTTTCACACCTGTGAATTGACTGGTTGCGATGGGAAGACCTTTCAGCTCAATTTGGAAATTGTTTGGCACCATGTCGATGCCTTGTGTTGTTCCTGAAATGCTATGGAGCCTGGATGAGCTAAAGCGTGCCCTGATAAGTGAGTTTCCCATTTTGGAGACTGAAGAAGGAGAAGGTTTCAAAATATTGTTTGACTTGTTTGTTGAGTGGGCTGAAATCCTGTTAAATTACAACATCCAGCATCCGCTCGCTCTGTTGAATTTGGGGAATTTTGACCCAGAATCCTTCTCTCAGGGGATTTCCGGCCGCGCATACTCATGTCGCATCGCACTCGAGGGGTGTCATCGCACCCCAGAGGACCCCATCGCACTCCACACACCTACTCACAGATCATCGTACTCCACAAAAGGGATCGTACACCAGAAAAACTTGCGCAGACAGCCAAAAACAACTTTTTTCGAAAAATTGACCTGAAGAGGTTTTCTTTTTTTCCCTCTTCGGAGGTAAAATGCTCTGGAATCTGATAATATGGAATATGGGGGAAATTGTTGTTTTTCCAGCGTTTTGAACAGTCGCGCGTACAATCGCATTCCATGAAATTTTGATATTTTTGACCTGTGGAGGCTATGGAAATTCTCGATTGTTGTCTTAGTCGTGCGCGATAGAGTGTGATGCCTTCTCGGTATGTGGAATGGAATTTGCAGCCTCGATTTGCTCAAAAATGATATTAACATATGCCTGAGAAGCCCACATGCAGGAACGGCAACGCATACGGGGGGGCATCGTACTCCAGGGGTGGCATCCTACTCAATGCAACTGTATTAAGTGGAAATATGGTACCATTTGGGTTCGAGGAAGAACAGCGTAATCCAGACTTGGCCCCGTTTACAGATGCGGAAGCTGAGCCGCCAGCCAAACGCGTCAAAAAATAAGCTGAACAGCTTATCCAATGGTCTTGAAAGACCCTAGAGAGAAGTTGATGATTGATGAGAGAAACAAGACTTTATGATTATGTTTATTCAAGAAATCATTGCTTGAGAAGGTTCTCAGCGGGGTTAAACATGTGCGATTGGACATGACAGCACGTGACAAGGGAGCGCCGGACAAGGGTCACACAACCTTATTCTCATCATCAAAGGTCGTTCATTATTTTCCAAATTTCCGGAGCTATTCTTGCATGGAATATGAACAGCCTTGGAATATGGGTAAGATTTTGCTAGATCTATAGTAAACATACAAAAAACCATGGAAAACCACCATGCTTTTAATGGGTAAATCAACTTTAAATAGCACTTTTCAATAGCAAACTGTTAGTCATTACCAGAGACTATCCATGAAAAATGGTGCTGGAAAACTCTAACATTGATGATTTCACCATGAAAAGAGGTGAAACATGACATGTAAAGATGAAACAAATGTGTTTTAGCCCAAGTATCAGTGGGACTTCAAGCGATGGTTTTTTCTGTGCCGTGTCATTTTCACATTGGGAGGCGAAAACCAGGATTTCACCATTTCACCGTCGCATTTCAGAGGGGTGATATAGGGATGAGGCCTTTTCTACCTATGATACAGCCATGATCCTATTAGCATCTGGTTATGACTAACAGTTCGCCATGGAAAGATCCACCATGCTATTAATAGGTAAACCATCTATTTCGATTAGGGCCATCTATACCATGGCTATGTTAGTCATAACCAGACGGGTAACTAATGAGGGACGAGCGGAATTTTCATGGCGCCATTGGCGTTTTAATGCCCTGAATATTGGGAAAAAGTATGGTTTAGTGACTCAATGGTTGCCAATTATTATCATAGTTGTGGAAGTATTTTGTTTGCGGTCTCAGTCATCTGATTACGATGATGGTATTCTGTTCGCCCCGCTAAATTGAGGATCTCACTTCCCAAAAATGGTGTTTGGGAAAATTTGGCAGGAACCCCCTTGAATTTTGGTCCACATCATGTTATCCAGTCTTTTTCCTGGAATCAACAAAAATGTTCTCCACATTTGTTGGTCAAGCAACAACTTTTTTCTTCATTCTTCCAGAAACTTTTGGTGAATATTCCAATGTTCCTGGTTGGTGGTTTGGAACATGAATTTTATGTTTCCATTCAGTTGGGAATGTCATCATCCCAACTGACTTTCAGTCCATCATTTTTCAGAGGGGTAGGGCTCAACCACCAACCAGATATTCCAATGTTCCATAGCTCAATCGTTTTTCAACGATGCCCCATCTTTTGGTGCTGCAGGTGAAGGAACTTTTGAAAGCTCGACCTCTCCAAAGGCCCGGTATGGAGGATTTCACTTAAACTGGGAATGGTAGACATACCACCCATTTCTGGTGATTTTGGGGATGGTTTATTATTGTTTGAACCACATGAGGTGTTTTACTGGCTGATTTAACAAAAATGATCGTATTGAGTGGGAAGATCATGGGAATATGATTCCAATAGAACTGGAAATTATGAGATCAGTGATATACCTATCAAGAATGGTGATTTTCCATCGCCGGCATAGACGCGTTAAATTACCAGAGGGTAAGCATCAAAGATACGGAGATATAATTGATAAATGAAGATAACTGATGGCTGGTTGATGATTTTTGTGTTTAAAGTCTATTATCCTCATGATGATAGGGTGGTTATACTACCTATAGATTGATCATCATTTATATGGAACATTGCGGATGATCATAGCTGAGAATCCCATTTTCAGCATTTTCTATGAGCATTGTCTATGTTTTTCTTTTGGGACAGTTGTTGATGTTGAAATGATCAGAAATTAGGACCTGACAAGTTTTTCTTGGAGACCTCGCAAGGGGTTCTTTCGAAATGATATCCAAAATCTGGCTGGAAAGGAGAATAAACCAAACGGTTAAACCATGTTAAACCCACATCTGGCTGGCTTTGGGCTTCGAGAATTTCATGAAGACGCCTAGCTTTCAGTACCTGGAAGCCGCAGCTGTCCCCATTTTTTAAATGGAAATCCGGCAACTCAATGGAGGTTTTAGTGGGAAAATCATCTATAAATATCTATAAATGGTGGATTTTCCATCATGTTTCACTACCTGAGGGTAATTTAATAGCAACCCAAAGAAGTATGATGAGTTGTGATGATTATGATCATTCTTCCATGGATCATTTATGATGTTCCCAGCGGCTCCGAAAAAAGTCGATGGCTACTTCGTTTTTTGTTTTTCATTTATGGTATTATCCCATGGTCCATTTATAGTATTATTCTAACTGTATATACTCCATTTAGAGTATCATTACATCCCATTGTTATAGGGGATAATACAGTGGTATTTCTACTGTAAAAAAACATCCTAATACAGTAGTATTCCCCAAAAAACACAGATGATTTAGGGGTATAAACAAATTACCTTAGTACTATTATACTATTATACTATACTATATATATGTATATACTATTGTTGTAGGGGATGAGTTGGGGGTCATTTTTTGGTCCATCTTTGTACCACACTCGCGACATGTCGGACATGTCCTGCACCCAGGAAGCTCCAAGCTGTGAGAATGAAACCTGCTGTTGGAGTCCAAGATTCGACATTCGACGAAGCAGCAGATAGTCATGGGGATACCCGGCCCGGTAATGACGGTAACCAATGGTTAATGATGGTTAATGCTATCCTAATCTGGGATATCCATGGTTAATGATGGTTAATGGGGATATCAATGGTTAATGATGGTTACCCTCTGGTAATTTGTTACAGTTTGCGAACTTGAAAAATGGTGATTTAGTTCGTGGATTTACCCAGCTGGAAAATGGTGAAACTATGGAAAATAATGGATTGTTACCCTCTGGCAAACATCCAAAAAGCGATGGAAAGATCCACCTTTTTTAATGGGAAAATCCACTATTTCGACTGGGCCATTTTCCAGTTAGCAAAAGTGTAACAAATTACCAGAGGGTAATGGGGATAGAATGGGGATTTACCTTCTAGTTATGGGAAACAAAAAAAGGGAACTGGAAGCCGCCCAGAAATACTTCGATGATTTAGATATGATTTACGGTCCTTAAAGATTGTGATTTTCTATAGCTATGTTAAAGAACCAGAGGGTAACCCGGGATAGAATGGGGATATCATGGAGATCGTCTGGAGAAATGATGCAACGCGACCTTGCGACGTTGCGATGTCATTGGGAATTGGATTGGGGCAACTATCCCCAACATAATTTGATATAATTTGTAGCGTTTTGGGAGCTAACATCGCAGTGATTTTCACAGAACACATGATTTTCCAGGCACTCCTGGGCTCAGTGGGCACTGCCGCGCCGCTGGGCTCAATGTTTGGGCTCAAGTTCTACTAACGCTCCGATCCGATACCTAACCCTTTCAATACATGTTGTTGCGGCCTCAGAGACAAGCTGGCGGAACGAAGGGGGAACGATGGGGGACCTGTTGTCAGAAGGGATCCCCAACCCTTGGTGAATCATTCCGAAAGGTGAAAATGGATGAGGACTGAAATTGTGAACCATTGAAGCACCCTGAATTTTCAAAGATGAAGCATCACATGAAATGTGTGGTCACCAGGATAACTGTAGCTCACTGGACATTTTTCATGCTGGAAACGATGTTCTGGATCATCCCCAGGATGAAGCAGCTTGATCCTACCGCATTTTGTTGGTAAAACAAGGTTGAACCCCGACATGTCTTGGCAGAATGCTATACAACCTGTGGGGATGGGTATCAAAAAAAAATATTATTAGGATCAAAAAAAATATTATTAGGATCAAAAGAAAATTATTATTAGGATCAAAAAAAATATTACTGTTTGTAAGTAAAGGAAAGAAGGAAGGGGGGGAAGGAAGGAAGGAAGGAAGGAAGGTTTTTTTTTTCTCTCCTGGCTCCTTTGGCTCCTGGCTTCTGTGGCTCCTGGTGGCTCCTGGTGGCTCCTGGTGGCTTCGTGGCTTCTTGGCTTTTTGGCTTCTGGCTTTTTGCTTTCTGTGGCTCCTTCGGCTCCTGGCTCCTTCGGCTCCTGGCTTCTGTGGCTCCTTCGGCTCCTGTGTCCCCGGTGGCTCCTGGTGGCTTTTTGGCTTCTGGCTTCTTGTTTTGCTCCTCCGGCTCCTCTGGCTTCTTCGGCTCCTATGGCTCCTTCGGCTCCTGTGGCTTTTGGCTTCTATGGCTCCTACAGCTCTTCTTCTCTTGTACTATTCTCTTTGTTGGATGGGCTGAGGCAGGGCCGAAGCTTCTCCAGGTTGGGGCTGCTGCTGAGCGTGCTGCTATTGTTTGCGGTATGTACCAACCGACAAACCAACCAAGCAAGCGTTCAACCCTCAACCACCCAGCATGCTTGCTGTGCTTCCGTGTTTTTGCTTGAACTTGCATCCTACGTGGGTACTGCATGAGTATTGAGCACATTTATATACGCTCTCAAGGCTCAAGAGAGATATAGAGTAATCTTGTGGACACCACTCATGTGACGCTTTGCGGGGGGAGGCGCTGGCCCTCCCCCGCGCCCCCCTCCCGCCGTTTTATGTTAAAGCCTCCCCCGCGGGCTTGTGACAACGATTTATATATAGATACACATGCATATTTACTTATAGATATACAGACATATATATATATACATATGTTAAATATATATATATAACATAACAAAACAACAACAACTACTACCATACTTACTACTACTACTACTACTATACTACTACTACTACTACTAGTACTACTAGTACTACTAGTACTACTACTACTACTAGTACTACTAGTACTACTAGTACTACTAGTCCTACTAGTCCTACTAGTACTACTAGTACTACTAGTACTACTAGTACTACTAGTACTACTAGTACTACTAGTACTACTAGTACTACTAGTACTACTACTACTACTACTACTACTATCATTTCTATTATTATTATTATTTTACTACTATTATTATTATTATTTCTATTATTGTTATTATTATTATTATTAGTATTATTATTACTATTACTAGTTTTATTTTTACTACTACTATTACTACTACTACTACTACTATTATTACTACTACTACTGCTATTACTATTATCATTATTATTACTATTAGTATGAATCCTAATAATATTTTTTTTGATCCCCATAATAATTTTTTTTGATCCCTAAATAATAATTTTTTTTGATCCCAATAATATTTTTTTTTGATCCTTCACCCCTTAGGTTAAAGATTCATCACAGCTTGTTAACTTGTCAGTTTGCAGGCAGCAATTCGCAAAACATTGAATACGTTTCGGAGTCAAAACACAACATCGGTTCTTTTTTCTTGAGTCAAGACCACCAAACATCAACATGTGTCTTGCCGAACAGCGATTCAAGATGATCTCCAGCTAATTGATCTGAGTTAAGTCCGCATTTTCTGGTTGCTGGGTTGCTGACTCCTTAAAGCTCATCCCATCGCACAAATCACATTTTTTGCTGATGAATTCCACATTTCAACCAAAGTAACTGACCATCTAACAGCTCAAGTGACATTGGTTGAACACGTGTTCGCTCAGTTTCACAATGCAAACCATGCAAGCTGGTTTTCCCTGCTCCAACAATCACCTATCAATTCTTCAGATCCACTCGATGATTTTCATATTTTCATCACAGATTTTCGTATGAAAACTTCCATTTGTCATGGTAGATTTCCCAGCCACGCTGGACACCATTTCGGGTAACCCACCGTTCTTCCAGGGGTTTTGCCTCCGTTGGTGTCCCCAGGTCTACTATGCTCCGGGCCATCTGGCCCTGGACCCTTTTGGGCGCCGTGCAGGTGCAGGTGCACGGAGTGCACGGTGAAACCTCGATGGGGGCAGCCCCAAGATCAGTGATTCATCCAGCTATTAACTGGTTGGTGATTTGGAACATGTTTTATTTTTCCATATATTGGGAACAATACCCCATTTGACTAATATTTTTCAGAGGGGTAGGTATACCACCAACCAGTTAATGATTGGGGCACCATTGATTATAGCTGGTTAATCATTGTTTTTATTTTGGCTTATTTCATGGAAAAACCCAAACACAAATGGATGATGATGACTGGGAGTACCCCTATGGATTGGAAACCTCCATATGATTGATATGATATTACCAAATTCATGGTGCTATCACTAGTGTTTATGATTTTCAATAGAACATGTTTTGGATATGAGCCAACTTTGTTTTGTTTGTGGAGAGTACGATTTTTTTTTTAAATCATTTGGGTGATATCCATAAGATGCTTATTATTTTTTGTATAGTTGGGGAGATATTGTGGCAAACGAAACTTCAAACAATAATTAGCCTCTGGTTATTTGACAGTTTGTCATTGAAAACATCCGTGTCTAATAGGTACTGTCACTCATCTTTCTTCAAACGGGTCATTTTCTATCTTTATATTAAATTACCAGACTATATATATAATATACAGTACATATATATATATATATCTGGTGTTTCCAAAAATGGGGGTACCCCCAAATCATCCATTTTGATAGGATTTTCCATTATAAACCATCCAGCTATTGGGGTAGCCTTATTTCAGAACATCTCCATGATATGACATTTATGTAACTTATAGGTGAGCAACTTGATGTTTGTTTCGTGTTGTACTTAAGATGTAGGATAGAAATGGGTCACATGATCCATCTGATCACGACCCACTGTCACTGCTGATGGTGAATGCAAGTGGGAACTATCCAAGGAGGCCGCACTTTTCAGCTTGGTGAACTATTTAGTTTCCCCTAACGCGCGCTCTCTCTCTACATATATATATGTATATGTATATGTGTATATATTATATATAATATAGATATTTTGATTGATATACCGAGTTGTATCATGCCCAACTATATCTTTATTTTCGAATTCTATAAAGGATCTACGGTGATGTCCATATGACTTGCACTAGTTCGATTGATGGTCCATGAATCCCAGCAGATTTTGGGCTACCATCCAGGGTGAAAAATTCTGATGGCTTTTGACTCAGACCCATCACCAGGTTTTTTTTTGGGATTTGAATCACCAGGTTAGGATAATTTGTTCGAAAATTTGGGATCCACATATAGAATCCAATCCAATCCATACTTGGATAATCCAATCCACATTCTGTGGCATTTCACCAGTGATAAAAAAGGGATCCAGTCGTTAGGAATGCCACAGATGGATTGGGCCTTCCAAGCCAGACACCCTGGGGGTTCCAGTTCGTGGATCAGCGTGAAAGGTCGGACTTGAAGCATGACATGAACAGTGGGTGGTTAATGGTGGTTAATGGTGGTTAATAGTGGTTAATAGTGGTTAATTGTGGTTAATTGTGGTTAATAGTGATGATAATCCATGAATAGTTGAAAAAACGTATTTTTTTTGGTGGTTGATAGATTAATGCGGGTAAATCAATACCATAAACCACCCATGACTGGGAATGGTTTATACATGTTTATACGACCTCTAAATGTTTGGTGATGACTGGGGGATGGTATATTATAGTTTTAACCACATGAGTAGAAATCAGCGATCAAATACTCTCCGGTAATCAAGTATGGCTAGAAACTCTCCCATTTACCATCTGGTTATGACTAACATA